TAAAAATATTATGAATTCTCATTCATTAAGATATGCTTATCAAATGCTAATGATTTGCTTGTGATCATAATGACTATGATCAAAGACTTACAATGCCTTATGGCACAGGCCAGTTGTTTAGAATGAAATAGAGATGCTATCAACATAATCACAAGAAAAGTTTAACTTCTTAGGAATCTAAAAATGTTTTTCTTTCTTCAAAAGACTTAAAAGTAAACACAATTTACATTATAATAGTCTGGCATGGTGGCACATCCCTGTATCCCAGCACTCAGGAGGCTGAGGCAAGAGGATCACCTTGAGTTTGAGGGCAGTTTGGGCTACATAAAAGAGTTCAAGGCCAGCCTGAACTACTATGAGATCCTGTCTCAAAAACAATCAAAAAGAAAAACTAATATAGTTTAATACTTTTTATTATCTACAGTTTTTTACTACTGTGTAATATTTTAAAAAGAGACCAAGTATAACACTGGACTCATAGAGTAATCAGTATAATATTTGCACAATTTGATCATGACTAAGTGAAAAAGCCACTTGGTTCAAGTTTAGAAAGGGAGATATCATAAATCACCTATAAGACCTTGAATAAATTTTAAGCCGAAGTGAGATTTCTTACCTTTTTTAATTTCTAAATCTATAAAAGAGAAAAACTAATGTTATTTTCTCAATCCATAACATGGGCTTCCCTACAATATTTTATGTCATATGAGTCACTTTTTAAAATATTTAAGTCATCTATTCATGAGAAGTGAATTCATTTGGTCAATTTTCCTTTTGCTTAACAATTAAACAATTGCTTTTGAGATCAGTGTATTCATAAGTGGACTTACTTTAAATGGGTGATTTTTAAGTAAAAATACTACAGGTTTTCAACAGGTGTGGTAAAAAATAAATTGGGGAAAGTTACACAGTAGTACGTGGTCATCTCAACCACTAGGTCCACCGCATCAGGGTGAAGGAAACTTAAGTACCCGGATGATGCTGATGCAGACTTGCTAGTGGAGACAGCAGTGAAGGAAGGGCAGGAGGGCACAGCGGCGTGCCCTGCAGGCGTGACCAGGCGTGGGAGGCAGGGCGGGCTCGCAGGGCACAGGGCAGGCACCCCAGGAGTGAAACCGGGAGCAGAGCGCTGTGCACACAAAGGCGGTGAGTTTGGATTTTGTGGAACTAAGTAAGCTATTGATCATGAAGTGGGAGCATCAGGGGGCTTCCTGTGAATTTGTAAGCGTGCTTACTCTTAAAAACTACTGGATGAAAATGACTCAGAGTAGAGTAAAAGGCCGCTGAGGTCGTGTGTTACCACCAAGGTTTTATATAAGTGAGGAGCTGAGGAGCAAAAACCAAAAGAGGCCTTTAATTTGACAGTTCAGTCATTAATGTCTGTCTCTCAGTTTCATGATTATTATTATTATTATTATTATTATTATTATTAGCTCTCCTTTTGGCTTCCCCCTCCAGTCTCTCTGCAGCGTGGCCACGCTGGTTTTGCTCTTGGAGTCCTGTATTGTCCTACACATTGTGCAGGATGGTTCTGTCACCGTGTAACCCATCCAGCTCTCACCAGGAAGCTGAACTCTGAAGCCTCCTATTCATTCTGACCCCCATATTCTCTGGATCCCGAGCCTTTCTTAGCCACTCTGCGCTCCAGCCCACCGCCTCTACCATCACTGTTTCCTAGGACCTGGAAAGGGCCACTTAGGCCACCTGTGATTCCAGCACAGGCCCCATCACCTCCACTTTATGAGCTGCTATACAGCATGGCAGACACAGCCCTTCTACCTGGACTCACAGAGGGGGACTGAGCCATTGTTTCCAATGCTTTCCTGTTCCTGTTACCCTTCTGGAAGCTTCTACTTCAATCCCCAGAAAACCATACCACCTTACAGTCTGGAGCCAGAGAACAAGCTCCTACACTCCTATCCAGAATTCCCTCCAGAGAAGCCCAGGAAGAAGCACATATTAGAATTAGAATTTTCTCTCCCCATCTGTGCCTTCCTCGGAGAAGGGAATTCCCTGCACCTCACTCCACTATTCCATGATATTATAACCTCTCTGCCTTTTGCCTATAGTAATACAGATGTCCAGGGACTCAAGTCCCAGCTCATGAGTTGTTTTTGAGAGGTTAATAAATCTAGGAAAGAATTCTATTAGTAAGTACTGTTAGCATTTTGTTAGCAAGCATTTTATTAAGCGCTTTGCTGGTTATAAAAAATAATGACTTTATTTTCCTAATGTTTCTCATGCAAAAGTTTTAATAATCTTCCCTGACTCATTTCTGTGCATTGCAGTAGTTACCCAAACAGAAGCCAGATGCAAAGATGCTGAAAAATAAAGTTAATATATGTCAAAATATATCTCATCATTACATCATGGAGTGTTTACTGCTGCAGCATAGAAGAGAGAGGATTGGATTAGGTTAGTGCTAACAGAGACCCTATGTTCATGGATTTGAGAGGCACATCTGACCCACCCCACTTATCGAAATGAAATTTTATTTTAAAAAGTTCATACTCACCATTTCTGTATTCATTTAGAGTGCCTTTCATAGCAACAGCAAAAAGTTACTGTGATAGAAACTGTATAACCAGCCAAAAATATTTACTAATTTGTTCTTCACAGAAAATCTTTGCCAAATCCTGGTTAGCTGTTTTGACCACAGATGTTTTTATTTCATGTTTAAGAGACAGAATTGAGATAAGCAATGTTTAGCTTCAGGTAGAAGAGAGAATTGTTGAAGATACTATGTTTCATCAGCTTATCAATCAATTTGGAAATGTTAAGTAATGATTATTTCTGTTACTTTTGAAAACTCATTTATAGAAAATACCCAGCATGTATCAAATAGGGAAAATAGCAAATAAACTTTCATCAAACTCGCGCTAGTTTCCGCAATTCTAAGCTCACAACATGTTTTCATGTCTCACGTCTTTTACCCTTGGTGGTGGTGAACTTTCTAAGCAATCTGAGTGAGCAACACAATGGACGTGCCCAACTTAACCTCTGTTTCTCAGCACGTCTGTTGATTTCTGGCTGAGATTAGCACTGAGTTGGAGGACTCAGGAGGGAAAAATCACAGTTCCTAGTGGGTGAGCCTTATGCAACCAGTTCACTGAGAGATGAATAAAAAGAAAATAAAACAGACAGGAGGATTTCTCTGCCTTACCACTGCCTTATTATAATGGGCTCATTTGCCTGCCAGTTTTGGGTTGAATTATACGGTTGGCTTCCTGGATTCCCAGCTACAAGAGAGAAAACTTAGGTCAAATTCCTCATAGTAAGTCTCTCTCTCTCTCTCTGACTATCTGTCTCTGTGAGTGTATGTCTCTGTCTCTGTCTCTTTCTATCCCTCTTGTCTGTCTGTCTCTGTCTCTCTCTCTCTTTCTGTTTCCTTCTCTGTGTCCTTCTGTTCCTCTCTTTGCAGTCTCTGTCTGTCTCTGTATCCCTCTGTCTGTCTGTCTCTCTTTGTGTCTCTCTCGCTTTTTACAAGTTTATATGGCATAAGTTTTATTTTTTCGTGCTGGAGACTCTTAATACATCCTTGCTTATTTTTAGACTAATTCAAAACATAAGGCTTTGTGTCTGTAAACATTTGTGTATCCTTTATTGCATAACATCACATCAAAGAATTACAGAACTTTTGTGGATCAGATTTTTAAAATTTTTATGATATGTTCCCATCCTGATCCAATAAAACCTATATAGTGCAGTCAAGTAATACCATGGGGTCGGATCTCTTCTCTAAAAGTCATGTTGACCTTCGATTGGCTTTGTGACTGCACTGGAGGTCGACCTGGAAGACAAACTGCATCAGGGATCACTATGCTCATGAATGGAGGAATGGTTTTTTGCACTGGGTGTGCTCTTGTTTCTCACAGATGTTCTCTCACTTCTTCCTTAGACACTGTGAGACCATGCCAAGTGTGTGATACGATCCTGGGGGTTCCCATCTTGCAGGCTGTGAGAGATACAGTCATTTTGTCTATAAATTTCTCAGCCTCCAGTATCCCATTATAACTGCAGGACATGGCCTGAGACAGTTAGTACGATTCTTGGGGTTCTTAAACCCAAGGCCACCCTCTTTCATTCTCCATACAAGCCACTTATTGAATAAACCAGGTTTTTTTTGCTTATTAGTTTTTTTGTTGAGTTTTCCACACTCTGGACTTTGCCAGTCTTTAGCAAAATCCTTGTGCTGTTTGTTTAGTAAGTTTTCATAATTCTCTTGCTGCTCAAAAACTCATAGTTAAATTCTGAGTCAGTGAGTATTTTGGCAAGAACACTCTTTAGGTTGTTGTTATGAATACATAAAATGACTACTTGTTTTTTTTATTAGCAGTCACTAATGGTTATTGCCCAGATTTCTCTTTCTTACTAAGATTTAATAATTGTATAGTTTCCTCTAATTCTTTTTTATTAGCTGTATTAAGATGAAGCTAATATTTGCTTTATTATACTAATAAAAATTCTAAAGAGATGGCTTAGTAAAACTATTTTTAAAAAACTTTCCCTAATCAATTTCTTTGCCCTGAAGCACAGCTTATATAGGAAAAGCAGTAGAATGGCCAATTATTTCAAAGTAACAAAATGGTTTCCTGGTGTTTTATATAATTTCCACTGAGAATGGTTTTATTAATGTTATGAACTAATGAATTCAGAAGTATTCAATGTGTTTCAATCCATCACACCTACAATTCTTCAGAGGCTGGAATTGTTCTAAAGTTAGTGATAGGGAGTCTTTTTTTATTTTTGTAAATTAACATGCATGCATTTGACATGTAAACATATTAGTTTGAAGCATATATACATATATGTTATATATACATATATGCTTAAATCTACCTAAGTATAAATGTATAGTTATTAATCACTCTGAATTTTTCATGAACATAATTAACTACCAACACTTGCTCTGAGACAGATCTCTTAAATTTATTCTCCCTGTCATTTTGTACCTTTGGACCAACATTTCCCTCTCTTCCTTCCCCCCTCCTTCTCTCCAGTCTCTGAAACCCGGCCCTCAGCACATCTGAAGTTGGAGCTTGGAGATAATTTCCTGCTGCTGACCTGGACCCTGCTCAGCACTCTCTTGGAGAGGAATGATGGTGAGTACAATTTTGACACCAAGGGTGTTCATGATCATGGATTTTCTCATTATTTTTTGGAACACTTTACCAAACAGAATTAGAAAATGCAGTTTAGTTTTAAGATAAACACGTTAACACTTGAGGTTTGCATCAAATGTATTCTTACTTAATTTGATCTCACCTCCCCATTTGCTTCTTTCAATTTTGTTTGTTTGTTTGTTTGTTTGTTTGTTTTGTTTTTAGACAGGGTCTTCTTGCTTTGTAGTCCTGGTTGGTCTTGAACTCATTGTGTAGCCCAGACTGGCCTCGAACTCAATGAGCCTGAATGCTGGAATCACACGAGTGCACCACCATGGCTAATGTTAAGTCTTTTTAAGTCTTGTTTTAAATATTACAAATGTACTAAATACTACAAAGATAGTCATTTTTGTATGACCCTAGCATCCATTATAGGTTCAGAATAAAAAAAGCCAGTAGTATCTGGTAATAACAACTGTAAATTTCTTTTAAATCAATATTTCCAGTTTATGCAATATATTTTAATCATTAATAAAGTGTTTACTTTAATAGATTTCCATTAATATTGCCATGGTTTTAGAAATTACAAGACTTTGAGTAAGTAAAGTAAAATATAAAACTGGCTGACAAAATACTTTAGAAATTATTGTTTTCCACATTTTATTCTACAAAATCTTTACTGTCACATATATATCATCTTCCTATCATCTCTAAGCCTTCTAACCAAAACTTATCTTTAGTGTTTCATCAAATCATAATTAACATTGAAAACTATGAGAAGGGGCAAAAGAAAACTGGGAGGAAAAGAAGAATTATAACACAGTATTCAAAAGCTATTTTTTCAAAAGGAAAATAGTTGCATTTTTTCCAAACAGTGCTTGAAATTTTGTACTCAATAAAACATTTCAAACATAGTTGGGAAAAAGTGCTACATTTAGGAAAACAGGAAATAGTACATATTCAAAAAAAGGTTTACAAAGATAAATACAAATGTATTTTAATGGGTATCTCATTTGGTCTCCATAAATTACAATATTAAAATCCTATTAAAATGCACTTTGTTTTTTAACACCTCCTTAGACATCCCTTTTACAATACCATATTAGTTTTCGGGTAGATAAGACGTGGTGAGGGAGACTACATGTAATATTTATGTGATGAAAGCTTCATTTTGTTCTTAAATATGAACTTGCAGGCATGATAGGAGCTTAGTGGTTTACTAAATATGGATTTGAATATATCACAATTTTAAATGTGATGTATCATGAATAAAATTTCCTCTTGAGGGTTTTGAAAATCTGTCTCACTGATTGTAGTGTGAAATCCACAGTCAGCTGCGAGTTACTCCTGCCCATATGGCTAAGTAGAAGTAATTGGACTGTGAGTCAATTTCTTATGCATATAGAAAATTGCCTTGTATCACAATTACATTTCAAGAGAAATTCAATTATGGCCTTTTTCAAAATCAAGAAAGGATGTGCTGAATATTCTCGGGTATTTGCAATAATAGCCTCCCAGCTTCACATTAATATAGATGATAAACGTAGTTCATCAAGGAAATTCTGAATTTTTATAAATTGCAAATTTGTAGGGTTGTCTTTATGCAACTAATTATTTATAAAAATGATTTCATCTAAAATAGTTGACATTCATAATCACCAACTTTAAATAACTTTGATTTCAGTGCATGCTCAAGCTAGCATTATAAAAATAATACTGAAATTTTCATGGGAGGAAATGAAGTGGCCAGACCAAGATCGCTCTAGAAATTGTTGGCAGAGAGAATATCTATGTCAACTTAATATTAGCTGAGTAATTCATTTTCTTTATGCTAAGTTTACTTACATTACATAAAACTCATACTAAAACTTTAAAAGCCCTTTAATGAGAGAACATTGAATTTTGTCAAGTAAAATGTGTATGAATGAATAATACCCAGTCTACTCACAGTATTAACTTTTGCCTTCAACGTCATTATCTTATATACTGAAACTTGGTCATCCAGAACTTTGGTCCTTGTATCTACCTGTTATTGATGTTTAACACTGTTTGAAACTTTCTAATGATACTATGGATTGGTTTTCATTGTTTCAGTTTTGTCTCATTTTTAATACAGGAGCAAAAATGATTTAGAATTAACTGAAGACACACAGGACTGAAAGTCAATCAGCAGTATCTTCTGTCCCTGTTCGGAGGAATCTCACCACATATCAAGGAGTCTTTCCTGGTGGCTCCATATTTTGTAAGTATTTAAAAAGCCTGGAAAGGAAACATCACAGCAGGCCGTTACAGACCCCAGAAGAGATAGCCTGGAGGAGAACTCCCATGCGTAGAGTAGACTCAAGTCCTCTTCCACAACTATCATCAAATCGCTGTAAGATTTCCATGTAAATCCTAATTGCTTTATTCTTATTTTGAGTCACTATAGCATTGTAAGATAAATCCAGGTGGTGACAATTTCTAAATTATGAATAACATAGCTTTTTAGTCAGCCTAGAGTAGTAGCCGATAAAGTTAATGTTCCATGATGTCTATCCATATTGAAAAATAAAAATAACACAGAAGGAAAAGGAAGAGAAGGGAGAAGAGGAGGGGAGCAGGAAAGCAAAGCAAATTCTTCACCAAACATTTTAGCAGCTTAGATGAGAAAAAGCAGCCAGTATCCATTGACACTTGGATTTCTGTACTCTAGAAGTGTGAATGCATCTCCCATTTGCAAATGAAATTTGCAAACAACTAGTAACAAGAACAAATCATAAATCCAATCAATAAACATCACTGTTGTTTTATAATAGGCAAAGGAAAAAGCTTGCCTTTTTCCCCTGTAGGGTTTCTTGGGCTTTGTGCCTGCAGAGGGCTTTGAGTATGCACTAACATGCAGTTTTTCAAGAAGTAAATTTACATTCAATCCTAGCAAGACTCTATTAATTTAGGATGGGATTTCTTTTACTATCAAACATAATTTTAAGGTATTCTTGTTTAATATATATATATATATATATATATATATATATATCTTATATTAAACTGTTTTCTCTTACTATTTGCTCAATTCCATGAATATGTACTAAATTTTCTTCAGATAGGCAATAATTTTAAATATCAATAAAGAAGCCAGAATTTATATGGTTTGAAGTAAGCTTCCATTAAGAGCTAATACTAATAGGAAGGTATTTATTGTCAAACTTGTTGCTGTACAAAGGAATTAACTATGGAAATGTAAGAAAATGTAGAAATTTTAAAAAGGTAATTTAGTCATTAAGAATGACATGCAGAGAAATTTAGTCTATTTTATGTGTTGTCTATTCAAATTGACTTTTAAAACTTCAGTAAGTGTATTTTATATTTATTATGAGTTTCTAGATTTGACTAAAGAAAATGTACTTTAGGTTATTCAATTTTTTAAAAAATGGTCTACTTTGTGTTCTTTAACAAACCATTAAAAGTTAAAGTAAAAAAGAGAAAAAATGATATCAAAGAATACAGACCTCTTATGAATGAACTTCAAGCCTGTTTTATTTATCAAGTTACTGCCTAACTTGTTTATGTTGTTGTGTTCTCTTCAAGAATGTCTATAAAATTTAGGGGCTGGGGATTTAGCTCAGTGGCATAAGCGCCTGCCTTATAAGCAGGCAGTCGTGAGTTCGATCCCTAGTACCGAAAAAGACAAAAAAAATGAAAAATAAAAAAAAAGAATGTCTATAAAATTTCAATATCTTTCCTTGTTTTTAGTAACTTTCCATTAGTCTATTCTCCCAATTCCTTTTTGAATGTTCAGGTTTGAGAACGTATTCACTGTGAGCAGTCAGTATGCACTCAATATAATTGGAGGATATTAGGAAAGTGTTGAAACTGCTTCACATCAAGTGATAGTAGATAAAAGTTTGAATAGATATATTAGAATTATAAGTCCCATGCTAGAACAAAATTAAATTTACCATATTTGAGCTAACTTGAGAAGACTCCTAGATTTATTAGGAGGAATGATGATTAGACCTTTTTTTATAAGGTTAATTTAGAGATGCCCATTCTTAAACCAAGATTATCACTCAACTGCTGTGTCTCCATAAGGAATCAGGGTAGCTGTGGAGAAACAGAATACAAGTTGTCCTCCTCCTCCAGAGGACCTCAATGAGAGCTGGTCACCACTCTCATGGGGGACAGAGCACTGTGGAGCATGTGTCTGTTTTATGTTATCATTGGATGAAATTCACCCATAAAATGTTAACATGAAAATTTGTCTCAGTCTGTTTTCTAGTGAGCTCAGGATAATGCACTTTGAAGGAAAGGTAACTTACTCAGATAAAATAAAATAATAGCTCATTGTGAAAAAAAATAGATCATAGATGGTCAAGAAACTCCAAATGTCAATGACATCATGGAACAGCTATTAATATTCTGTAGAGCTGTGGTCCTGGTAACCACACTTCACTTAACTTTGGACAAGTTGTCTACTTCTAACCTAAAGTTTTATGGTTCCTTACTTCATAAATAGGCCTATTAAAATCAAAGACATTATAAATTCATTCACCAGACCTGTGAAAATCTCAAGAGGTTATAATTCTGACTTTGAGAGGGAAGATATTAAGCTGCAATAAAATTAACAACTTTTTGTGCAGAGACACATAGCTTGTAAGATTCAGCCACAATGACTTCCATTTATTTTGAATTCCTATCCCCAAGCACTGAGCCAGAAACAGCTCAGGGTCAAAAAGATGGGCTGACCCACAGCAAGCAAAGCGCTAACCGCGGCATCCAAGCTGTCCTGCCTTGCACCTGGCATGTTGGCTCTGCTTGCTGACTCAGGGCCTGAAGCTGGCATGGGGCATTATCTATCACAGTCTAGAAGGGTAAATTTCCAACACTGAACACAGTGCAATTAGGGTCATTCTGCAATAATGAGAGCATCTCTTTGAACTGGTACTCATAGCTAAATAACTGTCTCGGTGTTCATTCAAATATCACACCCTTAGAATAAACACTAAAGTGATTTCTTTGCATTGGAAATTTCAGTTTCACAGACCTAACTATTAATCATGCCTCAGTGAATGTAAGAAAAAAATCATGATTACAGATATAGCTATGCGCTATAATAGCTTTGCAGAAGCGTTATTACCAAATATCAAAGTAAGTGGTAGTCTTAATTCTAAGCAATTTATACATTTAATTTCCTCAAAGTTTATGTGGTGGCCAATGTTTATGAGGGCGAATACCTCCTAGTATTCCCTTTTCAGTACCCTTCCATATTGTGACTGTATCCTAGGCAACCAAAGGCGTCACTCTCAGAGTTAGTTCTGTAGATTTGGAAGGGGGTTTGGTAAAGGATGGGAGCAGGAGCTCCAGGAAAGGGAGGAGGAGTAAAAACAGCCAAGATGCAACATCTGCATGCACTGATTCCCCAAGATGAATGAAATTAGTGTGCACCTCAGACTAATAATGCTCCTACTTCTAAGAAATAAAAAATATAAAATAATACATTTTTAAAAACACAAAAGTTTCTGAATCATGCTGCTTCATAGAAAGATGGCATCCCGTAAGCCACAAGTATATGTTTTTATATTTGGTACTGCATTAAAAAAAAATAGAGACAGTGAAGGCATTTATTGAGGGCTACTTTACAGTTTTTCTCCCTTCTTCTATTCTTTAACTGTGTCTTTCTTATCATTCGCCACGGGGCCAGAAGACAGCAGGGTGTACACATCGCTTTCCATACAGAGTCTGACAAGGAAGAGAAGGAAAGGCTTCAGGCAAAGCCCACCGGACAACCATGCAGGAACTGTGTCTCCTGGCTTGGTTGAGCCGCAGCACGACTGCAGCCCAGGCTGACCACTTTGTGACCAAGCTGGAGTCACACAGTCAGTAAAGTCACCCAGGATTCCCAGCCCTCTGCAAGTGCGTAAGATGTTGTTGTTTATCAACTGCTGAATTTTTAAGTAATTGGTTATACAGCAATGATATGTAACATACCTACAGCCAGAAAAGGTAGCTCTTATGTCCTCTCATCCACGTCGGAAGGAATATTCTTTTCTAAGTCATTGTTCTGCTGAGATCACGAGCATTATCAATTGTCAGCACATGTGTTTGTCTGTCTCGGCTGTGCTTCATCGCGCCATCACTGCCAGTACCTAAGGGTCAGGATACCTCTAGTTTTTCTTTAATATTAAATGTGATGGGTTAAGTTCTCCAACTTCATTCCTTTCCAGAGTCCTTTTGACTATAATTAGTTCCTTAGCAGTTCTTCTGTAGTTTACAGTTAGCCTGCCTTTTTTGCAAAATGAATTTTTATTGATTATATACAGTCAATAGATCAGTTGGGAAAGAATTAGTATCTTTAGCAATGTTGAGATTTTCCTCATTTGCTGAGATATTTTTTAATTTCAGCATTGCTTTGTACTTTTAGTGAGAGATCTTATACATTTTTGTTAGATTTCCTCTTGGGTGGGTGTGGTTATATAACATACCCCTCAGTGAGTTCTTTATCTTTGCTGCAATTACATACTATACCACTCACTGTTTCTCTATATCTTGTATTTTCCAGTATTATTTAAAAGAAACATTTTGAAAGAAATTTATAATTTCCTAGTCATAAGATATTATTAGTGAAATATAAACCTATTTTAATAAATAAAACAGAAGTCATAAAATGAAACCGTACTACATAATCTTGACAAACTCGCTTCTTAAAATTCCATCTATTAGCCTATTTTAGAGGTCTATTTTTATTGTTTGTAATATTATTAATAAAACCCAGCAATTCCATTTCCCTTTGAAATGCTGAGATCTAATAATGAACTATTGTTTTACTTATTCTTTATGTATAAATTCTTTGTCGATCTGGCACTGTTGTCACCAAGTCAGTAAGACGTAGTGAGAGGTTACAGCACCCATCTTTCTAGTAGGTAAATGGTAAAAGACACAAAATAATGAGTCCAGGCTGGAATCAGGGAGTGATACAGTGGCAAATCCATGTAAACCAATAACCACCACTCGACAGATGGCAGCTAATTGAGAGTAATGCAGAGCAGTGCTAAAAGTTGGAAAGTCAGCTGTGTCCGCAGCAGCACACAAGGAAAACAACCAGTCTCACGTTACTGGGATCTGGGATCAAAATCAATGTTGGACTTCAGCGTGTAAAAGTTCAGTCGTGTTCTATGTGAAGGGCACCAGAGTGAAGATCGTTCAGTGGTATGACCCTTTCACCTTTGTGCTGTCCTTCTTATGCACACGCTCACAGGATCTCACAGGATCTGCTTCCTGAATACTCATGCAAAGTTTCACCTAGAGGGAAAGTAGATCGCATGGATCCCAAGCAAAAGTGTATTTTCATGAAAATCCTAAATGCCTAGGTCTGGTTACAACATGAGGGGGACATAGATATTCATTTTACAAAAAAGGGAATATGAGATACTAAAAAGTAGTCAATCAAAGAATCCATATAATTATATATTTTAATAACCACTGTCCTCTCTGGTATATTCTTAGTTACTGGTGGTTTAGGTGAAGTCACTATCATTTCGTTATCAGAAGCACTATTGACATGAGTATCAGGATTCTCACAGGTCGCACTCCACCTGCAACATCTCACGGGGAAGACGCTGCCACACCATGCCCACAGCTCTCTCAGCCCCACATCTCTGTGGTTCTGTTCCCCCAACTTGCCCTTCCCCCTCTGATTTCCTGGCACCATCGTTGTGGGACCCCCCAGTGGACCAAACTACAGAGGCAGTGTTCACCTGCTCTCTTTCAGCGTTCATGGTTCTGTGACTACTTTCCCTAAATAAATAAATGATTTTTATTATTGATTATGAATAAATAAATAAATGATTTTCTTCATGCTCTTTAAAACTGTCTTCTTTGGATGTTTGCCCCAGAACAGATTAAGAAAAATCATAGATGTATCTTTAAATTTCAGATAGTCTGAAATAAATGGCCAAAGATATATAAAATATATTTTTGTTAACAAATTGATACACTTAATTGGTTTTACTCTTTGATTTGAAAAATCCATTTTTGTCCATTTTAGCTGCTCCATCTAACTTAATTTCACACTTTATTGCCTTCCTTATTTATTTATTTTTGCTGTTTCATCACTCGGACTATCCAGCTCTCTTTGTTATGCTTGGTTAAAAGTTCTTTACTTTGGCAAGACAGTTGTTGCAGCAAGGAGCCTTCCTTTCTATTTGGTCAGTATATTTCACCTGCTTATTAATCCAGTGATGAGAAATAGTGGGAACTGGAAAGAAAGGACCATACATATCAAATGCTAGTCCTTATATTTTAGTGAGTAGAAGAACAATTTAGATCTCCTCAAACTCTTTGAATGGAAAAGTATATTCTTCATTAGCAGTGTGTGATAGAATATTAATTATTGATTGAGTGTTAATCCCCAGGTATCTGAACTAAAATCAGACAGAAGCAAAACTGTTGTTGGTTTTTAGCATTTTTGATTGTGATTAAATTCACTAAGTTATATTCCTGCTACACTTCATCAGTCTTTACTATAAATGCTACAGTGTATTTGTGAGTTTTGCCCAAGTAAATTAAGTAAGACATGGTCACTTAGAGGCTCTCACCATAGACACTCACTGCTCTGTGTCGTATGTTTACAATGAAACTTTCAAAATAATAAAGAAAATTGTTTGCTCAAAAATATGTTTTCTTCTTCTGTTATATAAACATAAGGGTTGCAAGTACTTATTTCTTGATAGCCTGAGAATCTGTCATAAGCTACTTTCAAATTATTTCATTTCAGAGATTTTCCATAGAGAGCAATTTACTCAAATTCTTGCTTGAATTTGCACAACAGATCAAGAAAATAATAAATTCCATAAAAACATAAGATAACATGTCATCTTCTCCAAGTCATATGTCTCCAAGATTATTTAAGAACTCCTAAATGTTGGAGGGGGAACATTAATGTAGAAGTATCTTTGAAGTGATAGAAATTTTCTCTCTTTATCCTTGTGGAGAGTGAGGATGACACAGAAACAACAACAAAAACACCAGGGAAAGCTCAGCAGGTGCCCCCGCGGGTGACAGGAAGTGCCAGCCTCCATGGAAGAATCCTTTATGAGGCAAAGCGGCCTTTGAATGCAGTGATGTGATGGCTTTCTCAGTCTCTGAAGCAGTTCCTCTCTATAATCTCAGAAATAAGGATTCCTGTAGTAATTAAATTTCTTTTTCAATTTTCTCCATAGTTTATCCACAAAATAAAATTTGGCTTTTGGTATTGCACGAATATCTTGCAAAATTTTGAAAACCAAGATTATATCTTTTTTATTTTAAGAATGGTTACCACATAAAAATTTACTTTTTTAAAATTCCACTCTGGTGAATTCAGAAAATGAACATAGAGTACTAAACTATCTAACATAAAAGAAGTATGAAAATAATCATAGCTCTTTGATAGACTCTCATTCCTATAAATATCTTATCACCATACTTATTTACCCTCCAATAGTCATTAATTTAACTGACACAACACTGCATTGGTGACTGCTCAATTCAAATCCAGGAGATAATCTTTCTACTTTGTTTTCATTAGGAAACTACAGAGATTTACTAATGAGTTTTTCTTAGACTGCGTAGTATGGTTGAAAACCAATAGTTTCCCAGCATTGTCCCTGATAATATTCAGAAACTTTTAAGTCTTATCTCTGTGTACTAACTCACTTAATATAGCTAGCCTTATTATTTTCGTGATAGTGTGTTTGGTTGCCAGAGAATGAAAATATATGAAAGTTTCTTTTAGATAAGTTAGCATTAAAAAAAGACAAATTGGCTGTCTACCCAGTTGTGTAAAGAACAGTTGTTTTATTTAATCTCTTTTGTAACCCTGGAGCTGTCTGTACTATTAAAGAATTAAACACTGAATCAAGTAACTTGCAGGGATCATTTGATGGAAATTAACTGACTAAACAACAAATAAATCTCTGGCACTGCCCTCTAACTTAGTCCTCTCCGTTCACACCTGTGACTCCAAGGGACCAACTATCTTTTCTCTTTCATAATGACGAGCTGAGGCTATCTTTATCATCTCAGAAGAATCACAAGATTCTCTCATTTTTCTTTTCAAACACTTACTATGTGAAAGGCTTAACACTGCCATTCTATCCATGGAGTGAAGAATTCTTCAAAGATCTCTTGACAAAGAGAGACCTGATGTGCATGCATAAATCTAAGTACTTTGTTATATTCATATTAACTGGAGATACCAGGATTATAACAAATTCAATTTTGTTTTGAATAATTTTTGTGTACTCTTTATTAAGGTTCATAGGTAAATTCTTATCCAAGAAACTACTAAAACAAAATATATTTTTCAAATTGCAGACACTTGTAATTTTATCATGGGATAGATGTGAAAAAGTGTCTGTAAAACATCAATATAAGCTAGAGTATTCATATTAACAGATACAGTGATATAAGAAGTCACAGCACTTCCTTAGAGGGTTTATCATGTTCAAAAATGCGCTATTGTGTATATATTGCAAATTCAATTCCTCAGTTTATACTCAAATCAACATAGATGGTTCATGTGTTCATATTACAAAGATCAAAATAAGATCAATGTGCTACAGATTATTTTAGAGAAATTTAAAAATAAGGCATCACTGATGATCCGTGATTTTGCACTTGATTCTCATTCTGTACATTGTGTCCCAAGCCTCCATTACACCTGCCAGACTAACAACAGAAAGCAGAGAGGAATGTACAGAGAGCCAGGAATCGCTCAGACTGCACATCATACAGATTTTCTCCTTCCCCTTGAAAGCCATTTTCAGGGTCTTTCTGCCGGCCTATTGGGTCTATCCCAGCCAGCACAGGGCACATTGATCCTGGAGATGGCTTGGAGTACATGGCTAGCAGTCACTTCAGAGCACGCTGCAGGCAATTAAAGGCCAGTAAAGTGCGATGTGGAGGAGTAATCTGGTTGTTGTATGTGAAAGTAAAAAATGTTTTTATCTACTCAGTATTTTCTGCAGATAACATTATTGCACCTGTTCATATTGAGGAAGGAAAACGTTCCTCTTCAGAATTCAACATTGTTTGCTACCAGATAAAATTCCCCACTTTAAGCTGAACTTCCATATCTACGATGTTTACACGTACGAGGTTAATCTGTGAAAGTTATGGAATGTCACAGGGTGAACACTCCTTGCAGACTTGCTGAAGCATGCCTCCTTTAATCAAGGCGATTCGGATCTTCCTTTAGAAGCCTTGCGGTAATTTAAGGAGTTTGACCACAGCAATTACCCAGCTCACACATCAGGCAGTTTCATTAAAGACCCTTTCACTGCTCATTAACGTCACCCAGACCTGACCTGGGAATTCTTTATGACTACTCAGAGGAATTTCCACTTCTTTTTAAATGCTTCCAATGGATAATTTTTCAAGGACTGTTGTACAGATTTGACACTGTGAACTATCTTTAAAATGTGGAAACCTACAGAAATAAACATGGCACTGACTCAACTAATCATGGCACCATTTCAGTGTGGTATGTGACATTGCTTTCATATGAGTAGTTTTATTTTCTGATTAGAACTTATTTTAAATCTTAGTTTCATACTTTTTTCACTTAAAGACTCAGGATGTTTTTCTTTCATTCCAAACAGATTATTAATTTTATTTTTGTTTACTTTTGCACTGCTGGACATCAAATCCAGAGCCTTACACCTGGTAGACCAGTGAGTTAGGCATGCTGTATTCCTGAACTACACCTTCTAGCTTGAGCTTTTTAAAACAGTATTATTTTAACAGAAATGCTTGTCAGATAAGCTCCATTTTCTATAATCTTTTATATCATATAATTTATTATCAGCACTATTATTATTCTTTATGAACTTGGAAGTCTGTTGAAACTTTCTTTCTGATTATCAAATGTCCAACCAGTTCTGAGTTTGCGAATCTGATCTCTATTGTAAAACAGTTCCATGCAAGCTAGAGGCCATGGTTCAGTCTTAATTACACAAGAAATTTTTCCCCTTGAGAAATTTTCCATTATCTTTGAAGTTCTCACAAGAATCACAGAGGAAGGTAGAATGTCTCGATTGACAATTTAACTAAATTCAACCAAAATGAAATGAAATAACACCTGAGAAGGAAATTACAGTTTCCAAAAGGGGAAATTAATGCTGGGAAGATTTCTTTTAAAATGGCTATCTTGGTAACAAAAAAAAAAAAATCACTGTTTCTGTCTGATGCAGTTATAATTTTATGTTCTCCATAAACATGAAGAGCTACTATAGCATTATGTACTGCATACATGTACTAATAAAAATGTATAATTAAAAATGATATGGACTTGAGAGTAAGATACATTAACTTCCTATCTCTGCCTTGTAGGACTTTGAGAATATTTCATACTTTGTGTCCCTAATTGTATTCTAATTTAATTTCAGAGGTCATCATGAGTATTACTACACACACACACACACACACACACAAACATATATATATATATACATACACACACACACACACACACACACACATATATATATATATATATATATATCATTACTATTATTATGCTATTTTTGTAGGCAGAAATCACTAATTTAATGACACAGAGTAAAGTGCTGGCTATATGACAGTGAAAAAAGCATGATTATTTCTATTAAGAAATGAAACATTCTATCCATTATGTCCCAATATCTAAAGAATGCTTTTGCAAATGAAAATTCAATACATTGATAAGCTCTGTCTTTAGGTTAATATCATAGATTGTACACTCAAAAACTATCCAATCGGGATCAGTGAGATGACTCATTATAGAACAACAGTAGTGAAAAATACAAACTTTATTATTAAAGTTAACATTAACTGAGCATCAACTTTGATCCAGAAACAATACATAATGGAATATAATCCCTGCAAGATAGTGTTTACCACAAAAATAATAATATTAGAAATAAATTCAGTGAAGTGCAATGTAAATTATATTAGTACAGCAAATAGTGCTTCTGTACAACAATATGAAACTCATAGAAAGCAATAGTTTTAAATCTTCACTCACAACTGCCTCATTAGGTATCTAGGAATAAATCTAACTCAGAAAGTGAA